ACACTCAGGATCATGGTAGCTCTGAGTAACTGGTATCAGCATCTCCAAGAAGGAATTCTAACCCTCTTGGACAGCCTTATAAATCTAGAGCCTGCAACTGTGTGTGTGTGTGTGTGTGTGTGTGTGTGTGTGTGTGTGTGTGTGTGTGACACGCATGTTGGACATGCATGTCTGCAAATGTCTGTGTACAATTGCATGCATCCATACTCATGAAAAGCAGGATGACAGCTCCTTCTCAATGGCTTTCCACTTTATTCCCTTGAGAAGCAGTCTCTCACTGAATCTAGAGTTCACTAAATTTTTACTAGACTGACTGGTTAGTGAACACAAGCCAACTTCCTGTCTCCTCCTCCTCCTCCTCCTCCTCCTCCTCCTCCTCCTCCTCCTCCTCCTCCTCCTCCTCCTCCTCCTCTTCCTCCACCACCACCACCACCCCAGCATTGGGTTTACAGAAACACCAAGCCACATCTGGCTTTTCACATAGGTTCTGGGAATACAAACTCAGATTTTCAAGTGCACTTAAGTCACTGAGCCTCATCTTTAGTCTCCTCTTTTGCTTTTCTGATGATTAGGCAGCCAGAGCAGAGAGGGTCCACACACACACACACACACACACACCACCACCACCACCACCACCACCACCACCACCATCACCACCACCATCACCATCACCACCATCATCATCACCATCATCATCATCTCTCATCCTACCTGCTTAGGCCTGCTCTCTCGAAAGGATCCCAGTCCCAGGACTGGGCACGCAGGCTTTCCAGGCCTCCACTGCACATCTGCACAGAGACCTTGCGATCCTAGGGATGATGCTGGTAAGAAACAGACAAGCACAGTGGGTTCCTTCCATGGGAAATACAAGGATGAGCCCACCCACAGTAACAGTGAGATTGGTGGTTGCGGGCTAAGCAAAGGGGAGTGACAGATGTTGGCTGCAGGCTTCCTTACATGGTAACTGAATATTCTGGAACTAGAGATTATAGCGGCATGGTACTGTGATTATTCTAAATGCCACTAAATGGCGGACTTAAAAATGCCTAAAGCGATAAACTTTGGGTAGGATGAGTGGGTTTTGCTTGTTTGTGGAGACAGAGTCTATGTTGTCCAGACTGGCCTTGAACTTGTGATAAGAACTATAAATGCCACTGTACCTAATCCTGATTATTGTATTAGGTACGTTTTACTGCACCTTTAAAGGTTGTCTAATTCCTTAGCACCCTTGTTTTTAAAAAGAGTGCCTAGCTACTTGGTGACTTCCAAGCTAAGAGACATGAAAAAAAAAATGAACAATGCCTAAAGATTTACAGCCAAAGTACCCTCCTCTGTCCTCCATATGTATACCCACATATGTGCACACACACACATACACACACACACACACACACACACACACACACACACACACACACACACACAAACACACACACACACACACACCTAAGACTAAGAGCTGGCTTTCAAACACACATCTACCTACCCAACACTTGGGAGGCAGAAGAAGGAAGACTGTGAGTCCCAGGTTAGCCTAGGCTCCAGGGGAAGATCCTACTCCAAAAAATCCATAAAAATAGGCTAGGGATATAGCTCGAGTGGAGCCCTTGCCTGGCACGTGTGAGTTGGTACTATGTTCAGTTCTTGGTACCACAAACAAACAAGGTTCTTTAGGAGACAAGATCCTGGGAATGACAGCAGTGCAGTCCCTCTGACCCCCGAGTCTCTGATTCCTCAGCTGTAGGATGTGGATGGCCCTGAACTCCAGATGGCCATGCAGATTGCAACTGGCTGTCCCCAGCAATAGCCAGGTGTGTCCTCCAGGGCTGTGGAGTGCCACAGCACGACACAGGACACTCCCAAGGCACTGGCTCTGTAGATGTGGGAACCCTAGTGTCTCTCTAGAGTCCCACAGTTGGGACTCAGCAAGCATCTATGCTCCCCAAGGCCACAAACATGCTCCACATGGTGTTTGTGCAAGTGGCCTGTCCCTGGCGTTCTAACTCCCGCTAACTCATCGGGCCACGGCAGATCATATTTTCAGCTCTGGGAGCCTGGTCTGAGCAGTTGGGTACTCTAAATTTAATTCTGCAGGTAATTTGAACGATGCTATCTAATTTCAAATGTCCCCACTCTTATGAGTGCAAAAGCAGCATAATTTTTAATTAGTGGGTAAACAGTAAATACTGAACGGCAGTAAAGTGGACAGCACTGTTAATTAAAAATCCATGGTTGATAAAAATCAATTTGGTCTTTGCATTCAGGTCCCTGCAAAGAGTTGTATGACCCAGCCATGGCCCCATCTGCCAGCAGTGGTTCATCTAGTTAAGACTTTCCTGCGGGGAGAGAAAGAAAGCGGAGAGAAGAAAGAAAAGAAAATGGAGGTCTGTCCCAAAGCAGTAAGGGGCAACATCATGAGACTATTTGTAACTATTAAGTTGAGTTGGTTGTTGATTTTTTCTTTAAACAACCTTTACATTGAGGCTATGGGAAGGCAGCATGGCTGGGCCTTGGGGCTTCTTAAAGACAGTCTCCACCGTCCTGGGCTCTGTGTGTGTGTTCGTGTTCTGAAGACAAAGAGACCTGACTGTATCTCACAGTCTCCTAACATAATTAAATCCTAATTTCTCACAGAAAAACAACATAAACGAAAACACACTTAGGGGGAAATAACATCTGAGGCTTCGTGACAGAGCGTGACATCTCTTCTCGGTGCCTTCAGGGAGGGGGCATGGAACAAAACGATGGCTTCCTTCCCAACAGAGAGAACATCTCTTCAAGAACCAGAGATTCATGGAGACAACGACACTCTAATTTTCAGAGCCTATGTGCTGTTTCACTGTGAAATGTAAGCTTCATTTCCCAACCAGGCAAATAAGGTTGACTCCTCCTGCTTCCTCTTTGCTTCCATCTGCTCACCAAATCAACACTTTGCGGCAGGTTTCATTGACACTGGTGATGTTCAAATTAACCTGCAAAATTGAATCCAGAGAATCCAGCAGCTTCAGACCACAACGGTGGCTCAGAAACACCAGAATGTGTTCAGGTTGACAGCTTAGGAGAATCTGTCTCAGTTCAGGATGCATGGGCTCAATGTGGATATCCATGCACCCACCATAGGGACCTGGCTCAGGTTTCTTCGTCTTACTGACATTGTGCCAGATTAATTCTGAAAAACTCACCTTCTATCTTGCAAGTTTTCCATCAGCCTTGCTTCCCCAGTGACAATGTGTCCATGGTAAGACTCCTTGCCCTGGTTAGCTATTGTATTCTTTTTCTCCTACTTGTCTGACCATGATCAACAGATTCATTGACCAATGGGTCCAAGGGCCACATTCAGATCTTCACTCAGTCACTCTTCACATGTGTGTCCTATACATGTATGTCTACACACACTCTGTGTCTCCATATCAGCTCCCATTGTCCTCGGTGGTGACCCAAAGGAGCAATAGTCAGAATCTGGGTACCCTAGGCGCTAGCTCATGCTTTTCTTGATGAATGCCACAAACCCATGGAGCTGAGCCACTAAGCCACAACCAACTCCTAGGGTGGCTGCAAAGATTTCAGGATATACTATAAAGCCACTTGTGTCCCTTACTTGACTGATGACACCATCATCACCAGCTACACCACTCATCTAGTCACAGAGTCCACAGGGACTCTGGATGTGACTCCAGATGCCAGGAATGTAAGTTTTCCTGAGAGAATGCTGGGCATAGAGAGCTTGGGGTCTAAGTGTGTACCAGACAGAGCTCCAAGAGGCAAAGTGGAGTTCCCGTGGCCTCCCCTCAAGCCCAATGGGAACCTGTGAGCAGGCAGTGGGGAAGGGATGGGAATATGCCGTGGGAGAGTTTCTCCACTCCATCCATAGGCTTCCCTGGAGGCCCTGGCTGGCCAGAGCTCTCTGAGCCCCTCCTGACCCACTTCGGCCCCAAGCTCAGTGGGAAGGGCTGAGTTGGCAAGCCTGAAGCAGTGGCTAGCAGCCAGGGTCAGGAGCCACCATGAGGACAGTCAACTTGGACGCTGTTCACACTAGAATCCTGCGGTCTGGGCTGTGTCAGCTGTCCTTCTAAGTGGGATAACAGCTCTGATGGGATTACAGTTCCTTAGCAGCTGAAAATTTTGCTACTCAATTCTGAGCAGCAGCTGAGAGCTGAAGGGAGCTGTCCCACGCCCTTGTCATCCTATGCTGGGCTTAGGGAAGAGGGCCAGGCAGGATGTGATCTGGGTGACTGGTCTCCGCCTCAGGCTCTAGGCATCCACCATACACTCAGTGAGCATTGGCTGAGTGCTAACTATGCTAGACTCTGGGATGTGCCCATGTGTAGCAGGAATCTTAAAAGGTCTTATTAATAAAATCAAACCTGAGTCAGGTATTGGGGTGAACACTGGAAGATCAGAGAGACAGAACAAGCCACAGCTAACCTTACCTGGCCAACTTCTCAGCTGGCCTTGTTTCCTCAGACTGGAAGCTTCTGTGTCCTCATATCCCAATGGCTCTCAGCTGAACTGCTGCTCGAAAGTCTGAAGCTTAACCAGCCAAATGCTTAACCAGCCAAATGCTGCTAGTTCCTGGTCCTCACGCCTTATATACCTTTCTGCTTTCTGCCTCACTCCCTGGGATTAAAGGCTCGCTTTCTGGGATTAAAGGCGTGAGTCACCATGCTTGGCTGTATCCCTGAACAGATGGATTTCTGCCTCTGGAATGCTAGGATTAAAGGCGTGTGCTACCACTGCCTATCCTAAGTATCTAGTGGCTTTTCTGTTCTCTGACCCCAGATAGGTTTATTAGGGTACACAATATTTTGGGGAACCACCACACCCATGTACAGAGGAGGGGACAGTGGCAAGCCTGCTGTATGCAGTCCACAAGCATCTGGGTGTTCTGGGGCCTAGGGTGAGCTGTGTAGCCTGCCTGAGGCCCTGACATGGGGAGAGCAGGTGGGCCAGGCAGTATGCATGAAGCCTGTGGATCTGACTGGGTTCTTTCTCCTTTGTAGCTAACATCATAGAAACAGCTGGGATTACAGGAGATGGCCACCTACACTGGGAGCCCCAATGTCAGCAGCCAGTGCCTAATGGTATGCCCATCACTATTGTCCTGCCCCCACACATCAGTGGGTCCTGGATCTCCACTGGGTAAGACTCCCCTAAGCTCCCAACCATGCACTGCTAGGCTGGGAGACGTCTCCCTCAGAGACCCAGCATGGACCTCTATGAAGTTGGGACAATGATCCCAGTTCCCCAGAGGCTGCTTGCCAAACTCAGGGCTTGCTTTCTCCCCTCTGGAGGTAGTATTTGGAGCAAGGAACTGTCAAGCATCATGTCCAACAAACACGGTTAAGCTGAATGATACACACGTGGAAACCCGTGACACAGACACTCAGGCTTCCCTCTTGCGAGCTGGTGCACAGGGTGCGCAGTAGGACACGGGTTAAATAGGCGAACAGGGAAGTGTGTAATGTAGATTTGGCATGGTATTGAACTGCGCTACAAAGCAATATATGTCCTGGCAAGTTCCTGGAGATGGTGGCATCTGGTTGAGAGAAGTTCCCATTCTGAGATCCACAGGAAGGCACACTGGTGCAAAGAAGACAAGAAGTGGCCAGCCATCCGAGTCTGAGTTCCACCCAGCTCTCCGGACCTTGCAGGCACACTCATCTTATTGCAGGGGTTGCTCTGTGCCCCTCATCCTTGGCAGCCATCAGGTTACTCTTCCTCCCAGAGTGGGAGCCGAGGGGAAGCTGTGGCTCCCCTCACTTAGCCCCTCAGGTCTGCTCCTCAGCCCATTCCGTTCTGGGGTCAAGGACTGAACTTTCCATGTCCTCCACGTACCTCCTGAGCTCATGGAGAAATCTGCTTGCCAAACATCTGCTAGTGCTTTGGGTGCCAGGAGGGGGCAGGGTGCAAGTTTTCAAAATTGTTTCTAGCACTTTTCCCAGGCTCTGGGGCTGCAGCCCTACTTCATTCAGTCCAACTGGGACCTAGGCTGCTCCTGGCAGGGTCACCGAGTGCACAGAGGGGGATGCTGAGCTCTGCTGCTCCTGCCTCCAGCAACGACACTCTGGAGCAATTCTAAGAAACTTCCAGAACTTCCTTCCTAGAAAGTTCCCACTGTACTTGTTGCTTTCTGAGAGGAGTGTAGAAAAGGGTCAACAGTCTGGGACTGTGAGACAGCACTCTGCATGCCCTAGGGAAGTCATTTTGTCCTGCAGGCCCCGTCGAAGGTCTTCGGGTGTGCAGGCAGCCTCTCTTCCCTCACTGGAGCTGTGGCCTGGCCTCTTAGCCCCTTGCTGTTTTTCTCCAGACCAACTTTCTTTTATTTACTTAAACATATTCATGCATTTGTACAGTCTTATTGGGGCATAATTGGCATACCGTAAACAGCACACATTTATAGTGTAATATAATTATTTTTTAAAGATGCCTAACATAGCTCTGGATGCAGAGAACAGCCACTTGCCATAAATAAGAAGTAACTGTGAAGAGACTCGGTGGAACAAAACCACATAATTGGGTTCTCTCTAGATTCATGACCCATCTCAGGCTCAGCGTCTGCTCTCTCTGGGAGAAATGGGAGCTGAGGCTTAAGACTCATTAGCTCTCAGCCAAGGCTTTCTCCTTCATGTTAGCAGAAAGCCTGGAGAAAAAAAAGGGAGCTCTTTCTGCTTGGATGAGAGCCACCTAAGAAGAGAATACATATTAAGGTGGCAATCTAGGTGGGCACGAGGGAATGAGGGGGCATCCCCCACCACACACCACAATGAGCCCTCAACAGGGATCTTCTACCCTTGGCCATGGCTGTGAGGCCAGGAGTCACTCCCTTCCCTTCTGTACAGCCTCTAGACCTGTTTACATTGCTAACAGACTAGATCCTGGAGGCCAGGTCAGCTGACCACCTCTATGTGTGCATGTGCATGCGTGCGTGCGTGCGTGCGTGCGTGCGTGCGTGCGTGTGTGTGTGTGTGTGTGTGTGGAGGAAGATGTAGGTGTCTTCCACAATTCCTCAACTGTTCTCCACCTTATTTTTTTAAGGTACAGTCTCTCACTGGGACCTGGGAATCTCCATCAATCCTTAGAGATCCTCTAGTCTCTACCTCCCCAGAGCTAGGATTACAAGCACATACCACAACTACTTTTTATTGTCTGGATACTGGAGATCAAACTCAGAGGGCATCACCCTTGTGTAGCAAACACTACCCACTGAGCTATCTCCCCAGCCTTGCTAGGGTGCAGTCATTCTCCCTGATGGCAATGCTGAGTGGCTGCAACAGAACCCTGATCTGCCTTCAACCCACAAAGTATGTATTGTCCAACCCCTTTATGGAAGCATTTCACTAGTGTATGAGTAAACCAGGGAAAGGAAGCAGCTCACTGAAGGGGAGACCCTTGAGCGAGGTCCCTCTGTGCTCCTTCTACCCAACTTCATTCAATAAGAAGTCCAGGACAGAACAAGTCATCCCTGGAACTCAATGAGGAACAGGCCAGGGTTCCTAGGAAGCTAAGAGTACACTGAGTGGTAGATGGTGGCAACAGTCCAGTTAGGACCGAGGTTGATCAGAAGGAGAACTGGAGAGCTTTTATGAAGATCACAAGACTGAGAAGGCCCCCAGCTGGGGAAACAGGCTATGGGGCCCAGGCCTGAGTGAAGGAGGCTGGAGACATGGGAGACCAGTTCAGAGGGAAGGGGACACCCAGGTAGGTTTTCATTTCTCTGTTCAAAACCCATCTCCTCCCAGCAGCTGTGAGGTACATCCGGGACCAGAATTCCTCACCCGTTCCTACACCTTCTATTCCAACCGTCTCTTCCGAGCTTACCGGTTCTACTACAGGGACCCCTCCTGCCAGGAGCCTGCCCACTCACTGCTCATCAAGGGCAAAGCACGTCTGCGCCGGGCCTCCTGGATCACTCAGGGTGCCACCGAGGCTGACTATCATCTTCACAAGGTGGGCATAGTCTTCCACAGCCACCATGCCCTGCTTGACATTGCCAGGCGCCTCAACCAGACCCAGGCTGGCCAGGACTGTACAGGACAGCTGCCCCTAGACCGGGCCTGGCTGCCAGGGACACTGTATGAGCTGCTGAGTTCCCAAGTACCAGGTGACTGCCTGGCTGCACTGGGCTTCAGCATGAATGAACTCAGTCTGCTGAGCCTGCAGCGTCACATGCAACAACAGCCTGGGTTAGCACCCCATCTGGTCAAGGAGCTGTTCCTTGGGGATGTCCACACCGACTGGACAGAGAGGCAGCACTACCGACCCACTGGCTACCAGTGCCCCCTGCAAAGTGTTCTGGTGAGTATGGGCCCCTCTGGGTTGTTCTGGTGTCCAGCCCAGCAGGTCCTTTAGAATCTGGTCCTGCTAAGGGTCTCTGCACTATTCTTCCCACTGCCCTCACCTCTGATCAGCTAACCTCAGGACATTAGCACATTCTATTACTTTTGCTTGAGCCATCTTTTCTCAGCTTTTGCAAGGCTAGATGGCATTTTGTAGAGAATGACATGATTCACCCTCCCTGGCCCAGTCATTCTCAGCATGCATCTTTTAGGTTTGGTCTTCATGATTTTTGCAAGACCTCATACCTGTCCCTGCATGGCACAATGGCTCCAGCTGGTTTCCCTTCCTTGGTTCTCAGTTTACCTAGTCCTTTTAGCCATTCCCTACTCTACACATCACCCAACACCCAGCATATGCTGCTGTTAGGGAGCCTGCCTGTTACCTCCTCCCTTGGGCTCTAAGCACTCCATCAGGAGAGGTCTGTGGCATCAGCCAACATGGGGTCTGGCATCTGGCTAAAGGCAGCATAATGTTGACACATGCACTGGGAACACTCTGCTGGGACTGAGAGTACCCTCTTAATGGCATCCTTCAGGAGCCCAGGGGGGCTCCCTGGTGACCAGGGAACAAACCACTGATGCATGTGAGCACACGTGCTGATGTTATAGTGTGCTGCATCAAACTCCACAAACATTAAGGAGTTGATATAATGAACACAGGAGGCATTGCACATGGGTACTCATTCTCACTGTTTTGGGGTTGCTTAGTGAAAACAAAGGACTCTGAGTTAAGGCCTGGGCCTCTGTGAACATGTGGGTCCAGGGGGAGGCCTGTGGTCCTCACTTCTAACATGTGCCCTGGTGGTCTACGAGCTGTTCCCCAGAGTAAGGAGGCTCTAGCTACAGCGAACTGCCCCTCCATGAGATTCCAAAGTGACCATCATGGAACTCAAGTGTAAAGGAAGCCAGCATACTGTCCTACACTATAAAAGGTGGGGCCGGTGGACTTTTGGTGCTGAGACCCTGCCTGGTAGCTGGTAATGCCTGAGAACACTGCCTCAGAAAAAATGTTGAGAAAAAGAAATTGAAGACATAAAAGGCATTGGCTGTAAGTGGAAGCCAACCCCACTAAAATAGCCTGAAGATGCAAAGCTGTGATGGGATAGCTGAGAAGAGGGACTCTTTCTTCATCCTCAGGTCTAAGCAGTGATAAGTGCAAACATGGTTCCCAGTGTCTGGGACACTGACAGCAGGACACAGGTGACACACAGGGACATACGGTGATGCTGGGACTTGCTGCTCACTGTAAATGGAGATGAAAGCGGGCTAGGACTCTAGTCCTAGTTAGGAACTGCTGGCCAGTGAACCCCTTATTTATTTCCTGATAGTCAAGCTGAGCACAATAGCTCCCATCTGTAATCCTGGCACTTTGGGATCAAAGGCAAGGAGACTGCTTTGAGTTTGAGGCCAGTCTCAAAAACCAACAAAACAATAAAGAACAAAAAAACAAATCGAGAGTGGGAGGAATAAGTTCCACCATCTTTACCAAGTGATTTCTGACCTTGGGCCACTCTCCCATCATGCAGCATATACTGAGTGCCTACTGTGTACTGTACACTCAAGCAAAGCCAAACAGGACAACTTCTGATCTCTGGTAGCAACTGCTTGCCAGAATCACCAAGGGGTGAGAGCTAGACCATGCACATCTGCCCACCTTACACTTTCCAACTGCCCCCAAAACCCAGGATCTAGGAGGCAGAGAAGGAACATGTCAAGGTTCTCCTGAGAAGGGTCTTTTTTTGGTTTCGCTTTTTGAGACAGGGTCTCTCTGTGTAGCTCTGTCTATCCTCAAACTCACAGAGATCTGCCTGCTTCTGCCTCCCGAGTGCAGGAACTAAAGGTATGCACCACCACTGCCCAGGCAGGCCCGGCTCCTCAGGGTTCTTTTCAAATGACCTCAAAATCAATCCCTTTTGACAACTGTCTATGATGCCCAGGACTTAATCCTGAGGAGGAAGGCATACAAGGTGAGTTGATTACAACCCCCACCTCCTTGTTCCAAGGGACACCATGAGGGCTGACAGCATCCTACTTCCTGGGCTGAATTCAGGGGCCACTGTCCCTTCCCTTCCTGCCACCCCGCCAGCCCTGGTGGCCTACACAGGCTGGAAAAGTGATTGGGAAACAAGACACATAGGAACATGTCATTGCAGACCAGCACCAGATGCAGACATTAAATTAAAGGTCTGCTCAGCAGCTCCCCTCTTGGGGAGGGGGGGGAAGACCGTTTGAGAGAAGGAAATGCTGCAGTCAAATCCCCAAACGGCGCCTCACTCTCCTTACATTCTGCTCTCGGGGGCCTGAGCCTTGCCTGAGACCAAAACCAGATGGTAAACACGAACATTTTTAGAAGTTAATTTAAAACCAATTTGATCCCCAAATTTATTGCCTGGATATAGAATATTAATCAATCAGTCCATTCTCTACCACAGTCATCTGGGCAGGCATCACCTCTGGGGCTTAATTAGAAATTGATACGTGCCATAGGAGAAATGGCTGGTGAAGTAGGCTCACATCAGCATGAAGTTGGCAAATGTGAGGCTGGGGGCTTTGTCTATTAACACATGGGCCTCTGGCCCCTGTTGAGGACATCCTGGAGGCATTTGATGGGGACAAGAGCTTTGTGTCACCTCCTTTAACTGTTCCTAAGCGGGAAATGCCTTTTCTGTCCCCTCAATCACCTTCAAAGCTCTGCTATGCCCTAAACCACTTGCCCCAAATGACCAGCCAGCTCCTGCAATGTCCCTCTGCACAGGGATCATGCACGTGTGAGGCCATGAGTGTGTCTCTGTGTGTGTGGCAGAAAAGAGCCACTCTGGGACTATTTCAATGCTGTGCATTTGGTCCTGTCAATACACATTAGTGTGAGCATAGTTCAGAATGTGGGTTAAAAGGCCTAAATTAGAGGGAACTCTTATCAGCCGGCCTCCCAATTACTGACACTCCAGCTAACTGCCACTGCTTCCTCCATCACAAACAAGTCCTGCCGCCATTTACCAGTGTTTCAAAGTGCCTTCAAGTCCTCCAGGTCAGAATCCCCCAACAGCTAGGCACAATAGTGCTTGCCTGTCATCTGAGCCCTTTGGAAGCTGAGGCAAAAAGGATGGCCTGGAGTTTGAACCGAGCCTCGGCTATATAGCATGACTCTCTCTCTCAAAATAATAATGATAATAATAATATCCAGAAATAAAACATGATATAGGGTCATGTGTTATAGAAATAGAAGTTCGGCTTCCTCACAGGAATACATATTAATAGTAAGAGCTTTGAAAGTGTGACAATCCAAACAAAAGAAAAAAAATTCCCTCCCCCTTGCCTTCTCTGCTTGGGCCTCAGTCCCCAAGTTTCCCTCAGGAACAGCGGGAACAGGGCTGATTGCCGGCTCTCAGGTCAGCACTGAGAAGTGGTATTCAAGGCCTTCACATTTGCAAAGAGGACTCTGTGTTGACTTCAGGCAGCAACTCCCTTTAAGGAAAGGAGGAGAAGAGGGAAGGAGAGAAGGGAGGCAGGGGAGAGGGGGGTCTGTGCCTGGTTCTTTTCCGGCCTCTACTAAATGCTTTCACTCGGAAATGTAGACCAGTTAGATTTCATGTCCGTTTGCTGTTGTTGGGTTTTAGTCTGCTTAGCAGAGCAGACTCTGGGATGACCTCAAACAATCAAAGCAGGAGGAAAGGGTGCATACCCTGGGGTAGCAGAGGGGTCCTGCAAACCCCAGGGCTCCAGTGCAGCTGGCTTTGTTTGCTACAGTAATGCCAGAGGCCAGGCAGGCTGGCCCATGCTCACAATCGCAGCACTTCAGGGACGTAGAGGAAGGGGGATCAGGAGCACAAGTTCTGTCCAAGTTAAAAAGCAAGTTCAAGGTTCGCTTGGGCTACACAGAAGAAATTTATCTCATAAAAGGCCTGGGTGGGCCGGGCGGTGGTGGTGCACGCCTTTAATCCCAGCACTCGGGAGGCAGAGCCAGGCGGATCTCTGTGAGTTCGAGGCCAGCCTGGGCTACCAAGCGAGTTCCAGGAAAGGCACAAAGCTACACAGAGAAACCCTGTCTCGAAAAACCAAAAAAAAAAAAAAAAAAAAAAAAAAAAAGGCCTGGGTGGTACAGGGCTGGGGAGAAGCTCACTGGTTCATGCAACTGCAGAGTCAGGCCAAGGATTGGAATCTGGATCCCCAGATGTAGCTAAAAATGCTGGGTGTGGCAGCGTGCTGTAATTCCAGCATTCAGAAAGCAAAGCCAAGAGAAGCCCAGGGCTATCTGACTAGGAAGATGAGTCCTATCAACAAGCTTGGGTTCAACTGAGAGACTCTGCCTCATAGAACACAGTGGAGAGTAGCAAGAGGAAGACTCCCGTTGTCAACCTCCAGCCTCCACATGTGCCTGCGTACACAGGAGCACACCTCCACACCCCTCTACAACCCCCCAACCACCACACACACACACACACACACACACACACACACACACACACACACACATCACATACACAAAACAAAAATAACCACGGCAGCCTTGGCCCTCCCCCTTGCAGTGAGGCTTTGGGACAAGCTCTGTAGGACTGTGTTCAACCATGGACAACTGTGGCAGGCCACCTGGCCTTTGAGTTTCACTGTCCTTGAGTTGCAGGAGGGGGGTCAACATAGACCCCAGCACGTGAGGAAGCTGCAGAAGTAAAGGGATAGTGGTGGTGAGCCGGAAGGCAAACTAGGTAGGACTTCTTCTAAATCTGGGGACCTAAGACCCACCGAAACTTCAGCCCATTTCTCATTCATTCAACAAGTGTGTGTTTGCTGGGAGCCTAGAGTTGGGAGAGGTCAGGGCTGCTGCCTAGAAAGTTTTTGCCACTTCCAGCCTAATGCAAAAGGGAGGGGGGGAGGGGTGTCTATGAGGAGGTGACAGGACAGGTCTTGAGTCTGCTTTATAAGTTGAAGCCTTGATTAGACTTCCTCAGGACATGTGCAGAGGCTGGGCGGGGGGTGTCTTTCCTTCTAAGTCCAAGGACATCAAGGAGGCCCACCTGCTAGAGGGTAGCAGGGCAAAGTGAACCCAGCAACCAGGAAGGAAAGCTCACCTGGCTAATCATGGGGTCCTGCGTTGGGAGTCCACTCCAGGCGCAGGTCTGGCTCTGCTAGTACCTGACCACTCTGTTTCAACTCTGGCAGCACCACACTTGGCCTTGCCTGGCCTGCAGCCTCATTGCCTGCTCTGATGAGCACCACCCACCTGTGCTGCCCTCCCGGCCATCCCTGCCACTGCACCTGGGTGGCCACTGGGTCAGCATGGGCTGCGAGGCCAGGCCTGCTGTGCTGTTCCTCACTCGGCTCTTCACCTTTGATGACCACAGACGCTCCTGGGAAGGACACTACCACCATTTCTCGGATCCTGCTTGCCGTCAGCCCACCTTCACGGTGTTTGCCGCCAGCCACTACTCCAGAGGCACCCCATCCCCACGGGTCCACGGTGGTACTGAGCTGATGTTTGAAGTTACACGGGCCCATGTGGCCCCCATGGACCAGGTTACTACAGCCATACTCAACTTCTCCAAGCCAAGCAGCTGTGGAGGCCCAGGGGTGTGGTCAGTAGGCACTGAGAGGGATGTCACAGCCACCAACGGGTGCCTACCACTGGGCATCAGGCTCCCACATATAGAGTATGAGCTGTTCAAAATGGAACAAGATGCCCGTGGGCAGAGCCTGCTCTTTATTGGGCAGAGACCCACAGATGGGTCCAGTCCGGACACTCCTGAGAAACGCCCCACCTCCTTCCAGGCACCCCTGGTGCTCTGCAAGAGACAGGCCCAAGGGGCCCCTAGTCCCTCACTGCACAGGCTTCCAATACAGAATCCCCCCATTGGGTGGGCACCATATCATCCTGTCATCCCTCTCCCCATACTCCTCCTCATTCAAGGACTGGCCCCCTTTGAATGGCTATGACATCAGTCTTTGACTTGCAGGTGGCCCCTTGGACACTGTGTGGCCCTGCAGATGCCCACCTGGCTCTGTGCTGTCTTTCCATCATGGGAAGAAAACAGCCCTTCTCCACTGCTGTCTTGGATGGACATCGGCCCTGCTGCCTCTGGTTCAGCCTGTATCCCACAGGGCTCAACAGCACTGCAAAGCCAGGGGTCCCAGACCACAGGCCTGGATGTGGCCGCAAATGTGTTGTTTCTAAAACCCTTCTGCTGTTGTTAATCATTGGGGTTGGTGTTGATATACTCGCTCTTCCTTGCCTGGGGTGTTGAGACAGAGGACATCCTATGATGGTGCCCAAGGATGCTTCCTGCCGCTTGGCCAGGTTCTGGGTTGTGGTGTAGAGATCATTAATTTGAATTTAGCAATACAAACTCAGCCAGGGCATGAATTAAAGATGCCGCTTGGGGCTTTCAGTACTTCTCAGCTCTCTGGCAGAGGGCTTGTCTCTCTGGGGGCAGTCGGCTTTCTTGAGTTCTGCCTGTTGGCATCTTTGGGCATCTGCTTATGCTTCTGTAAGTCAGACCTCAAGCTGGCAACACAGCACATGGATAAATCCGGTCCTCCAGGGCCACAGAGCAGGAAAAGAGGGCTCGATCTGAGCTGAGACCTTGGCCTTTCCTCGCAGGCTGTGGCCTCTAAGTCTCCCGCGCCCACGCATAGTGCCTGCAAGCTTAGAGCTAGCCAAGCAGGGCGCAGTCCACGGAGGAAAGTGCATTTCTGCCTTTGGAAACTAATTAATACTAATGATAGCTACAGCACGATGTGCTCTGTAATTAGCCCCGAATATTCTTCCAGAATCCGCTGCTGTCAACAGACCAGGATGGGGAGGCCAGGGCCACCAGGCTACATAGCAACATCTGGAGGCAGGACCCAGCAAGCCTGGCCTCCCCAAGTCCCCACACTGTGACGCTAATATGTCGAGTTCTCATCTGCTCAGGGGGGCTGTCATCACGGTAGGGACCCTGCTCATAGGCCTAGGGCTTCATCTGCACACTGAGAGATTAACTGGTATCCTGATGAGCTCAAGGGTTTTCAGGACTGTGAGCAACTTGTTCCTAGCCCCTTCCTCCCCCTCCCATGGTGCCTCTTATCACAGATCTTGAACAATCCTATATGAAGCTAATGATGCATACAGAGGAAAGCCCTTGGCCTCCCTGAGACTGTGTGGGGTTCAATCAGTCCAAGGAGATTGCTCTAACTTATTATCTATTCTTCTCAAAAAAAAAAAAAAAAAAAAAAGCACCAAGTTAATATTCTCTGAGGGTCTCAGACAGCTACCAGGGTTCCTGGCATATTTACCAAAGTACAAGAAATAATTAGATTATTTACAGTCTCGGACTACATGGCAGTGGGGAGGGAGGTTAACATGTGGGGATGACAGTGGGTGTCGTGAACACAGCCATGGCTGAGCAAGCCTTCTATCTGAGGCTTGAAGCAACCATGCCGATGTTCATCATCAAATTTAAATCTTTTAATAAAGTTAAACAGCCTGAAAAATGTTCTCATTGGTTATTAAAGTCAACCAACGGGATTATAGTTCCAAAGAAAAGACACATGTGAGGAGAATAAAGCCGAGCGGTAATGCCCGGCCCGTTGCAGCCGCCCAGTGCCCTGCCCCTCATCCCTCCACTGTGCCCACTGTGCTCAGAGTGACCCAGCTCTGGCTTATGGTTGTCTGCAGAGTTCAGCTGGAGCTCCCCACACCCTGGATGCACCTGCCTTTCTGGTTTTTGATCACACCAAGCGGGCCTGCCTCAGGACCTTGGCCACATGTCCTCCTCCCTCAGGCCAGGAAAGAGCCAACTCTTTCCTTAAAAATGAAATTTAAGTCTCAGGCTGACTATTACCTTCTCAGGAAGGCTCACCATTGGTGCCGCCCACAAGGGATCATCTCCCTTTCTCTCTTCTGTCCACCATTGTCGCCTGTTGATCAATGTTTGAGAGGCTTTCATTTATTCATGTTTGTCCTCTGGCTCCTCTAAAGAATGTAAGCTCCCTGGGAAAGGACAGGGCCCATCTCTGCATCTTCCCCATTGGGTCAGAAGTGCCTGGTGCCTGATGGAAAGGGCCTCAGCACATAGATGACTCTCAAGGGTACAGAAACTGGTGAAAGCCACAGGCCACTTGTGGCATCCCTGGGAGGGGAGGACTCAGTCAGAGATGGGGTTGATCCTCTGTATTCTCCATATGGAGACATGGAGGCACAGAGACGGGGCTGGCATCATGTCACTGACCCCAGTAAGTAAAGCCTTAGATCCAAACAGGGGCAGCTGGACACTAAAGCCAGAGATCAGGGTTTTCTGAAGGGAGTGTGGGGGGCTCCTTGCTGCAACAAGAAAGGTCATTTGGAACTGCTCAGCAAGTCATGAGCACCTGATTAGGTATGCTGAGTCAGAGAGGTGCTTTAGCTGGTCTAGGCTAGGCCTCTTTGGAGGCAGCCAACAGAAGGAAGCTAAGAGCCCATCTCTTTGAGTGAGGAGAGGAAGATTAGGCAGAGACCAGGTCCTCAGAACCCCTAGGCCCTTCCACCCTTACAGAGACCCAAGAGTGCTCTCCTTGGCAGAAGGGAAGAGCCTACTCCCAGCTGTGAGAAAAACAAAACAAAATTAATGTTCTCCACTGTATGTGCAGTCACGTTGGAAGGGGGGGAAAGCCCGTGCGGTTGATAATTTCACAGTGCAAGTCCCAGGAGAGCAAAGGAGTTTTTTTTTTTCTTTTTAATAAAAAGTTTAAATTGTACACAGCTCTCGGAGGCCCATTAACTACCAGGCACTGCTTATCAGGAGTTCTTTCTTTGCTTTTCTCTAAGCGAATGTGTTTAATCTCCCAGCGGTACCACCGAGCTGAGAAGCAGCGTGTGGTGGTGACGCGTGGCCGCTCGGTGTGTCCTCTCCTGGGAGCTAGGGTGACTCAGGAGCTGGCTGGAGCCTCTGACGCAGGTGGAAGTACATTAGGGCCCTGGCAGGGGCCGATGCACGGCCATTAGTGTCACTGATGAGGGCTGAGGGGGAGCTGTTCCCATTTACAGAGGTGGGCTTTGGGCAGCAACTGTCCACCTCCCTCTCTGCTCAGAGCTGGTCTCCCACTTCCACAGAGGATAGAAATCACCTGTCAATAATGGAGAACTCTCTTAATGTCCAGGCAGCCATCTCCTCCCTGTTAGCTGCTTTCCCTGTCAGTGCTCAGCCCACTCCTCCCGTCTCCTCCAGCCCTTGCCCGGTTGGGCATGCCGCCCCCCATCTTCATCACGTATTTATCAGCAACATCCTGTTTATTCATGTCCTCTTTAGACCCAGCTTCAGAACAGCAGGCCTCTGTCAGAGTCCCTGCTGGGCCTCCAGTATGCACTGTCACCTGGCCCAGTGGGAGCGTGGTAAACATTGGCTGACTGGATAAATGGCTGTGTCCTGTTTGGGGATTCAGAATGCAGCCATTAAATATCAACTACGCCCTCCTCATGCTGGCTTCACGCACACATGCTACCGCTTTTTCTAATAAAATGGACAGAACCAAACTCATGACATGGGAACTGTAGGACACTTCCCTTTCTCTGGACAGTTGTTTCTATGGCATCAAGAGTAACTTCTGCCTCTACGCAGGTCACGGGACCTGGCACTGTCCCAGATACACCACAACTGTCATACTACAAAACCCAAGGGGACCACCGAAAGGCCCTGAGCCCCGTGATAGAGTCATAAGCCAAACCTTCAGCCCTTGCCCTGACGCCCCACCCTACAGCTTCTCAATGGTGGTGATTGGCGGAGGACTCCAGGTCATCCTTATGTCCTAGGAAGCAGCAACTGTACCCAGACTGATTAAGGAGGGTCTCCTCACAGTGTGGTGGCACTTCCTAGGGACATTTAGTAATGGACACCTCTTAGTCTTATGCTGTGGGATGGTCTGTATGTCAAATGTGTTGCTGATTGGCCATTGGCTAGGCAGGAAGTCTAGGCGGGACAAGGAGGAGAATAAAGCTGGGAAGTGGAAGGCTGAGTCAGAGAGACACTGCCAGCCGCCATGATGACAAGCAGCATGTGAAGATGCCGGTAAGCCACGAGCCATATGGCAAGGTATAGATTAATGGAAATGGATTAATTTAAGCTGTAAGGACAGTTAGCAAGAAGCCTGCCACGGCCATGCAGTTTGTAACCAATATGTCTCTGTGTTTACTTGGTCGGGTCTGAGCGGCTGACTGTGGGCCAGGCAGGAAAACTCTAGCTACAGTCTTATATACTTGGTATCTCTTTAATCTCTTAGATGAAGAAAAAAGGTAACAAACGAAGGTGGTCACCTTGTCTGTTAAAACCAATCCCGCCCTTTTGTGAAGAAACATTAAGTGCCTGAGGAGGAAGGCTGGCTCTCTGACTCTGAGCTTAAGAGAGTCACAGCCATGTTCCTTTCCCTACACTATTCTGATAAACTATGGGGAAATAATTAAAAGGGACAGTCTCATGGCTAAATAGAAAAGAAGAGGAGAATGTGGCCAGCAAGATGAGTGAGTCTGAGCCGATGGTAGATGGTAGCTCGACCCTGGCAGTAGGCCTCAGAGAGTAGGAGCTCACAGGTGGTCAGGCTGAGGCTCAGAAGCAAGCTCACGCGCCACAAGTCTGGGCGTAGAAAACTGGCCACCCGGTCAGCCCAGGAGACCACGGAGCAGAAGGGCTGGACGCAGCATCTCTGAAGTGCTTCTAAGTTTGTAAATGGGGCTATACCTACTCAAGCCCCTCCCTGACACAGCCAAGAGCCAAAAGTTCAGCCCAGGGATCTTTGGAGTCAGTGACAGCCAGGAGCAGAGGATCACGCTGGAAAAACTATGGGCTATGAATAGAACTCTGCGTGTTAAACGGTGAGTGCACAGCCTCCTGCTGTCCTTGGCTTCCACAGAGGCAGCAGCCAAAAGCTGCCAGGTGGCAGATGTAAGATTAACCTTTTAAATACTGCACAGGTCTGCCAGACCACAAAAAGGCCCATGTTTGACCCTCAGCACCACAGAAACAGACCAAACCCTACCTTTACCCAGCTCCCCTGGCAGAAAAAAAAAAAGTAACAAAGAACTATTATGTCCCTAATGGGGGCGGGGGGATCTACATCTGCTAAGTATGGTGATGAGGTAGGAGAGGCAGGGGTTCAAGGCCAGCCTTAGCCACATAGTGAGCTGGAGATCACCCAAACACCACACACACACTACAAACTCAAATGTAGATGCATATAGCTAATGGTGCATGTGCACACGTGTCTGTATTCAAGAAAGAGTTGCCACTCACAAATAAGACCTGGGAAAGAAAGAAGTCTTAAAAACTACAATATGCAAGAGGCAGGGGCAGTTGGATTTCTGTGAGTTTGAGACTAGCTTGGTCTACATAAAGAGTTCAAGGTCAAACAGTGCTACATGGTGAGACCTGTCTCAAAAAAAGAAAGAAAGAAAGGAAGGAAGGAAGGAAGGAAGGAAGGAAGGAAGGAAGGAAAGAAGGAAGGAAGGAAGGAAGAAAGAAAGAAAGAAAGAAAGAAAGAAAGAAAGAAAGAAAGAAAGAAAGAAAGAAAGAAAGAAAGAAAATGCAGCAAAGTCAAAAGATTGGAAATTAAAGTTAAAAAATTTCCCAGAAACAAACACCAGAATTTGGGGTGGTATCAGATTTTCGTAAGGGGACCATTAGAAGTGGAATGATGTTTTCAGAATCCACACAGGCACTTTCAGTCTTGTCTTTTATACCCAGTACAACTATCTAATTGAGTAGGACAGGACAGTTTCAGGTATTTTTCTCTGAAAACTTACATTCTACATATGCCTTTCTCAAAGGCCTGCTAAGGGATGTGCTTTTACAAAGAGCAGTAAAATAAGAAAGACCTAGCTATTCCACTCCTTGGCATTTACCCAGAGAACTCCATATCTTACTGTGGGGATATTTGCACATTCATGTTTTTGCTGTTCTATTTACTGTAACAAAGAAATGGAATCAACTTAGATGCCATCAACAGATGAATGGATAATAAAAAAAAAATGGTGTACATATACAATACTCAGCTGTGAAGAAAAATACAATCTGCACGAAAATGGATAGACCTGGAAAGCATATTAAACAAGGTGAAAGAAAAGAAATGCATGTTCTCTCTCATATGCAAACCCTAACCTAAATTGTATACATGCATATATGCAAACAGATATAAGTATGGGTATAATATA